TCTTTGCAAAGGGGAAAACTTTTCCCCTTTCAACTGACTGAAGAAAAAACAAAGAAAATCTGTTTTACATTACTTTTGGTATTTAGATTCTTTATTCAGTTTAATTCATAATTCAAGTTAACTGTGTAATTTCCTCTCAAGATTGCATTCTATGAACTTTCATTTGAATAAGCTCACTGTGATGTATACAGTCTTTCTGGAATATACATAGTCTCTTTTAGTTGGCTTTTAAAAACTTAATCAGAAATGAGTGAATTTTAAATAGAAAAATATTTTATTTTTCTTCAACAAGGGTTTTCATGCCTTATACTTTTATTGTGAAACCATACAATTGCTCTCCAAATTAATTAGAATTCTCAATTCTTAGAAATCTTGATTTTTCATTACAATTTAATGTAAGTAATTAAGATTCTTCAGACTGATATTTTTATGAACATTTCATGAAGTTTAGAAACAGGCCTTTTTTTTCCATTGACAATCATTTAAATTTTCAGGATATGTATTTCCAATAAAGTACAAGATGTACTAAGTAAGCAATCCAAATCCACTTTCTAGGTTCTCTGCCTTAAAAAGCTAAAGTAAGCACATTCTTATCAATTGGTATTTTAGTATCAGGTTACCTCAAAATATCTATATATTTAATGATTTTCACCGTTTAATCTAGCAAAACCTCAAAGTTCCAAGATGCTGAACTTTGGAAAACTGCGTTTATATATGTTTAAGTCATATAAATGTAATATATCAGGAATATATATATTTCTGAAAAACTGTATCAGAAATTTTTAGTTTAGTTTCATCTATTTATTAGTTCTTAAAACTTCATGACAATTTAAAGTCAATTATTAACCCAAGCCATTTTCTTAGCAAATTCTCAAACACATAAATAACATGAATTTATTCCTGCAAACTCAGGCATAACAAATATTTATGCTAATAACTTTATAAGAAATTGATTATATTTAACCAGATTCCATATCATTTTTACACACATGATCCTGAAAAATAATATTTTGATAGTTCTTTCTTTTTCCATATGTACTGACAATATGAATAATAATGGTACTGAAGACAAGACCTCCTTCTTCTCCTGTGTCCTTGACAACATCACGGTGGCTGGAGGAGAGCAGGGGAGACCTCCGGCCTGGGTGCAGAGCGGCTTGGCTAAAAGGGGTCTTTTATCTTCTTCACAGGGAAAGGGGCTGTCACCCCTGCTATTTCTGCACCCGCACAGAGTGTAGGGGTTGCACTAGTTTTCCCACAGTTCCCAGAACCAGCACAGCTCCCACCCTCCAGGGGAAGGTTCAGAGTGTTCGAAAAACTTATCTCATGGTTCTTCTCTCTGAGCTGACAGTCTAGGAGGGGAGGAAACCTTCCTCTGCCCTCTGGCCCTTCAGTTTAAATCCTTTCTGAGTAGAATCTGATGATGTAAAAACATGGATGCTTACACCAAATGTATAGTGTATGTACCAGTCATTGACTTCCCAGTCAGGGCACATTTGTATTAGTTCTTTCCTTCCTGCTATGAGTTGACCAGTCGGCTAAAATGTGGCTTAATGTCCTCTCTGATGGGCCTGAGATCCAGCTGCCTATTTCCAAACAGAAACAGAACATCTAAAATGAAGACAAACCTCAAATGAATGAGGACTCTCAAATTACATCCTCTAAAAGAAGAAGCTGGGTCATTAGCAAGAAAGAACTTCACAAGTCATAAAAGGCACAACACCCAGATGACAGAGACATAAGTTCTCAAGGACACAGCCCTGTATGACTGTGAGAGACACTGAGGGGAAGTCAGCCTGAGCCCAATGACACTTCCCTGGGGGAGACAGGAGGGCTGGATTTCAGGAAGTGCTAAGGACACCAGGAGGTGTTCAGGACACAGGGGTACCTCTTGGCATCCCTGCACCACAGAGGTCACCCCCAAGGAGCAGGTGTGGGTCTGAGGGGAGGAAAGAAGAGGCTTCCTCTTGGGAGCAGAGTTTCCTCTTAAAGCTCTCAGCTGCATCCAGGGACAATATTTTCTTCTTGGTGACTCTCATTCCCTACATTCTCAGTGCAAACAGCAAAGGGAGAACAGATATTGTCTGTTTGCTGATGAAAGACCACCCTGTGCCTGGGTCCTTTCCTTCAATGCACTCCTGTGTGACATTTTCCCACCTTGGCAAAGAACCACACTGACAACAAAGACAACCTCTGTCACACAAACTGTGTCTCTCCCTCCCCTTTGTCCTCATCCTGCTGCTTCCTGGATGGATGGGAGACCATGACATAGGACCTCGAGCTCACTGTGGAAATTATTACTGTTTTTCCTATCTCAGGACAGCCTCTGGTCACAGGTGCTTCTTGTCCATTTCAGGTGATCATGTGTTGACTTCTTTTACCTAAATGTGTTGCCTTCCTCCCTTGTACTGTGGCTCCTCCTCTCTGATTAGGAAAATCACAAAATTTCTAGTTTCCAAGCAACTATTGGAAACTCAATAGCAAGACGTGCTCCAACGTCACAATGAAACATCATCCCCATTCAAAAGAAGAGAACCTTGGCAGATGCAAAAACACAGATGAGCCTTGGAGACACAATACATGGGGAAGAGGCCACTCTCAGCACCACAGTGGCTGTGTGCTTCTAGGTCTGTGAGAGACGAAGGATCCAGAGCATGGAGGCAGAGTACAGAAAGGGTAACTGGGCAGGAGGACAGGAGATGGGGAGTTGTTATTTAAAGGGCACGGTGTCAGTGTGGGAAAGAGGAATTCTGGACTTGGAAGGTGAAAGATTACACAAACTTTTGGACATGTTTAATGTCATTCTGTGCACTTAAAATAGATTAGCCTGCCAAAAATTTGGGGCAAAACTCTCAGAAGTGGTGTGACTGTTCTATGTGTATTTCCAGGAAAATAGAATCTAGGAAGAAGGGAAACCTGTTCCAGGACTCTGGGGTACAGGGGTCCCTGTGCTGAGAGCAGTGTGTGAGGTGGAGACGTGAGATCAAGGAAAGTGGGTTAGTCACATCCTGAGAGTGTGCAGGACATGACAAGGACCCGGAACTTCTTTGAGGGAGATGCGATGTGTGTGGCATATCACTAGGACCCTACACTCTAATATATGGAGTCACCAGGATGAGTTGTGGGGACACACAACTGACCAGGACACACACACACAAGACCATGCCACATAGAATGGGCCCAACCTTCTTAGGAGACACCTTGTCTCCATGAATATTGACTTTGAAGCATCCTCTGAGCAGCTAACCTAGCATGGGAGTGAAAAAAATGACAAGATCCTCAACAGGGTCCACTTATTCAGGTCTCAGTATCTAAAGCTCCTGGAAAATTGGGACACGGAGACACCCAGGCACCCTCCTGAAGTGGACCTCTCGGCAGCATCGCAGGCAAAGGTGAGGAGGGGAGGACTTGTTCACTCTGAGGGCCCTCTGGGGAAGGTGAGGACACTATGGGCTTTTCAAGCCCCTAAACAGAGGCTCAGTTCTGCTCCATGTTGGGGAGGATACAGGAGCTGGTTACAGAGCATAGGTGTACACTGGGGCACAGGCGTGCTGCTCACTGGAGGATATGTTCTCACAGCATCTCTCCCTTGGCTTCCACCTCCCATTCCCTCATGCTGGTCACAACAGGTGGGATCCAGCAATGTTGATGGGCCCCCTAGCCCCTGCAGGACAACAGTGTCATCCCCACCACAGATGTCACTTTGGTCCCACGTGGCTGTACCAACCCATCATTCCTGTAAACAATGGGGGGATCTCCCAAGACATTTGTCACCTGAGGTGAGTTATCCTCTCAGCAGGTCCTTAGATGCCCTCAGTCTGTCCTATGAGCCCCAGTCCTTGCTCTGCACTATTAGATGATGGGCACTGCAGTGGCGAGTTTCTGTGGATGGAGGGTGTTTGAGACCCGGGTAAGGGAACCTGGTTTTAAGCCTTTATCAGGCTGTTATATCCCATCCTGTGTTCCTCTTTAGTTTAGTGATTGAATGAAAGATACACCTACTTTGCAATTTGGTTTCTCTCCACTTTTTGGTTTCCCTCACCTTGTCCTTCATGAGCTCCCTGTCCCCTTCCCAGGACATCAGGCCCCAGATCCACCCCCAGGCTCTCAGGTGAACACAATGATGGCAGGTTCCAAACTGACCCTCTGTGACCAGGAAGCAGGGCCCATACTCCTCACATGTTTCAGGACATGGCTTGGCACAGTGTCAGTGCCCATGTTGCCCTGGGGAAATGTGACTCCAGGACACATTGGTCCATGTAGTCTAGGAGCCTGCGAGGCCTCCTGAGCAGCTCACCTGTGGGAAGGGGCTGCTCTGCATGGGAGGAAGCGAGATGAAAGGGCCCAGCCTGTGTAACACCTGTGTCAACTTCAGGGTCTATGGTGGACTCTGTGCAGAAGGTCCTAACCTGTGTAGCCCATTTCCTGGAGTCGGGTTGAGACAGAGGCTGCACCTGCACCACCAGCTGCAGGCACAGGACTCTCACCCAGGGCAAGGGAAAGATGGTTCTTTACTTTGCAATATTTTTACATGAAAATTTAAATCATGTTCTTTTTATATGAAATTATGATTATTGAATGTGAAAAGAATGTGTCTACTTCATGTGTTCCTTTGGACTTGGGAAGTTGTTTGGCCCTAATTTTAATCTGTTTTAATATCCACTTGGATAATCTATGAAAATGAAATAATGTGATCCCTCACACAGTTCAGCTTTAACTGTTAAACAAAGAAAGAATGGCTGTCTATTGGCATGATCCAAAGAGGACTCACAACCAAATACTCTCCCAGACCTGACTTTTGTCATAGGGTCCAAGAGGAGAAACGTGCTCAGGGCACAGGAGGACAGTGGCCTCGCTCTCCCCTCACTTATGAGACTTGAGTCTACTGTATGCAAATTTCCCTCTGTTCCAGGTTAAAACTTTTCCTGAGCTGTGGAGGCTCACAGCACTCTCCTCACAGAGGGCTGAGTCTCTGGGGAAGGCAGACCTGTGTGTAGAAGATGAGGCAGCTGGGGCTCCTCCTGTGCCTGCTGGCAGTCCCCCAGGGTGAGTGTCTCAGATGTCAGACGTGGGTCTATGAGATGATGGTGACTGCACGTGACTGCCTGGGACTGATGCTCTCTCTCCCCAGGTGTCAGGTCCCAGGTGCAGCTGCAGGAGTCGGGCCTAGGAATGGTGAAGCCCTCGCAGACCCTCTCCCTCATCTGCACTGTCTCTGGATTCTCTATCACAACTAGTAGTTATGGCTGGATCTGGATCCACCAGTCCCCAGTGAAGGGGCTGGAATATATCGGGTACATAACTGGTGGTGGAAGTACTTCCTACAGCCGGTCCCTCAAGAGCCGAGCCTCCATCTCCAGAGACACATCCACGAATCAGTTCTCCCTGCAGCTGAGCTCCTTGAGCACCGAGGACTCAGCTGTGTATTACTGTGCAAGAGACACAGTGAGGGGAAGTCAGCAAGATCCCAGACACAAACCTCTCTGTGGGAAACAGAGAGGCTGGACTGCAGGGGGCACTCAGAACACCAGAGGAAACTGGAAAACTGACACTGGCCCACAGTCTCTGACAGGCCAGGACCAACCTTCTGACTCACTATTCCTGCATCAACATCTGCTCCTGCTCCTGGGGAGACACTGGTCCAGCGTCCTCTGTGACACTAACCTCGAGGCTACAGGCAGTGCACTCTGAGAAGAGGGACCTGAATGCTGTACGTTAGAGAAAACCTCCACCCCAAAATCACATCAGTATTGGATACACTGAGTGGACAAATTGATGCTGTGCCTGAGTCTCCCCAGGACAAGCCAAGATCTTCTCATCATGGCCTCTGCTTGTTCCAGGTGCCAGGGAAACAGGAAACCACAAAGGTGGGCACTCACCAGCTTTCACATCAACCTTCTTGGCTTTATTTCCATCTCCATAATAGATCCTTCATTTGTGCGGATGGGAGTCGAGATCCTGCCCATGTGTTAGAAACTGGGGTGAAGTGCAAACTTGGGTCACTGCCATGAAACTTATCACAGTGTTTGTGTATATGCAATTTATTGAACAGTAGAAGTATATTGGCATTAGGGCTATGCTCAAGGGATACTTACATGGAACCTGCAAGCAGATATCCTGTGGACATCAGGACTCTGAAAGCCACCAAGAGCTTCTTAACTCAGGGATATGAGTGAACCTGTGCATCTGGCACGTCCAGCAAAGGGGCTCCCCGGTGGCTGTACAGTGCTCTGACTTGGGGCTCCCTGCCAAGTCACTGGGGTTTACTAAGGACAATTCTGTTTGTCCTGATTTATGTAAGTGCATGGTGTTCTCAAGGGAGCATCCTGAAGCCAGGGCTAAATTTTGGCTTCTGGACAGGAGACACTGAGAAGATATATTAGCATGAATGGTCTTCAAAATTTTTAAATGGCACCACACCCAGATCACAAAGAGACAGGACTCTCTTGGTGAACAAAAGAATAAAGTACAATCCAAGCCCTTACAAGATAAGCAAGCAGACAGAGAACACCTGGAGCTAAAGTTGGGCATTACAGAGACTGAAGCCCACAGAAAGCTCCCACACAGAAAAGGTGAGTGCTTTCAATAATAATCCAGGAATCCATAATCGAAAACACCAAACATACCCTCTAAATTCCACCCTAGAACTGGGATTTTTCTTAAATCTCTTTGAGACATGCCTACTGCCATGTGACACATTGATTCCTGTGTAGTCACGCATGCTAAAAAGAACACAAGTGGTGGTTCTCGGGGCTCACACTCTGGCACACGAGGGCCTTTGACCACTTTCAGGTGCTTCAACTCCCATTAAACTCATTTCCTTTTTTAGCAAATTATTTAGAGACAACTGATTCCTGGAGAGGGACAGCAGGGAGTCATTATCATAAACAGAACTAGACAGTTCCTGGGTAACACTGTGCAATTCTTACATTTCTGCAGCCCTTGCTTTGGGGCCAGCCTGTCGCAAGCGGTTGGAACATCAGCCAGAGCATCCCAGGCCTTACTGGGTGGGACATATTGTTCTTTCTACTTTACAAAAACTATAACAAAAGGCAGGTTTTGTATCAAAGCCCTTCTCAAAATCTCATTGCAGGCAGAAGGGTGTAAAAGGAGGGAGAGAGACAAGGAGGACAGAGAGATCAGGAGAGAGGCTGAGAATGTTCAGGCAGTGTCATTGCTGGTCCTAACATGGATGTATACTTAGAGTGCCTTAGAGGTGTTTGGTGGCAGACAAATTCTTGTCACTGGACAATAAACATCACCCAAATGTATGGTCAAGGTTATATCTTGTACAAGCAGGATGAAGAATGCTGGTGCTTGAAATATGCTCACAAAGAAACAGAGAGAATATGAGTTATTTTAATGAGTGGTTTTGTACATCACATTGTAAATCTATTTGATGTGTAAGTCAGAGGAATATACCATTTTATTCCTTGTTATGTTGGCTTCTGGACTGTGGACTTCCAGCCTACATGCCTGTGGGACATAAAAGCCATTGTTCATTTGCTTCGCAGTCCATGGCACACATTTATAGCAGCTTGAAGAGTCTCACACCGGGAGTCTGATGGGATTCTTCTGCATCTAGAACCAGTTTCCTTGTCCTGTGATCTCTTTCTCTTTACCCACAGCTTAGAACAGGTCACCTGGCATCAATGGTCACTTCTCTCTTCTCCTGGAGCTGCATCTCCCTCTACCTCCCCTTAAAGAAGCATTTATCATAATCAGACTTACAGATGACCCTGGGAAATCATTGGATACCAAGATCTCTAAGTTAACCAAGGATGGCAAAGTCTCCTGGAGCAGTTGGACCACCGAGGACAGAATAGAAACATATGAAGGAACTAATTATTTTATTTTTTTATTATTACTTTCATATGTTCAATATAAGTATTTTTTTCATATTATCAGAGGGAAAGGAAGAGATAGAAACAAAGACAGGAGAGAGAGAGAGAGAGAGAGAGAGAGAGAGAGAGAGAGAGAGAGAGAGAGAGAGAATTGTCTCTCATTCACACCTAGACAGTGAATCATTTGTTTTCAGATCTAGGATCAAATACACATTCTTCAGTAGAAGAATGTCATGCAACCTAATGAGCCAAACTGTCCAAGACTGAGGCTTAATTCTTAACAGACATGTACCCTTGGAGAGTCATACATTGAGGCTTTGTCATCATTTATTTAGCCAGTGCTACAGCTCCCTATATAGTAGGAGGACATGGAGATAGGGTCCCTCTACTGAGGTAAAGCAGACCAACCCCAAACCTGCAGCTCTGGGACAGGAACCCAGCCCAGGATATCAGGGTGTCCCCAGTCCATGTTGAGGACAGGACACAGACCACTCACCATGGAACTTGGCCTCTGCTGGGTATTCCCTATACCTATTTTAACAGGTAATTTATGGAAAATGTGAAACACTTTGTATGAGTAGATATGACTGGGCGAAATAGTGGACAGAGGACAGTTTATTGACAAGGATGTCTTTGTGTTTGAGGTTTCCAGTATGAGGTGCAGTTGGTGGAATATGGGAGACACTTCAAACTGGGACATCTCTGAGACTCTCCAGCCCAGCCTCTAGATGCACCTTCAGTGGCTCCATGTGCTCTGAGACTGCCAGGCTTCAGGGAAGGGGCTGGAGTGAGGCTCAGACATTAACGGGGATGGAAGTACCACATGATATGCCAACTCTCTGAAGGGCCAATTTAACTTCTCTGGGGTCAATGGCAAACACGTGCTGTCCCTGCGAATGGACAGCCTGGGAGCCGAAGACAGAGTCGTGCATTACTTTGTGAGAGAAACTCAGGGGAAGTCAATGTGAGCCCAGAAACATTCCCTGTGGAAGACAGGAGGGCTGGGCTGCAAGGAATGCAAGGAATTACCTCATATCATGAACTGTATAAAGATCTGACTCCTTGGCTGTGGGCTAGATGCTTCCTAGCACCACTTAGTTGCCCACATTGGTTGGACCCCTCATATTACACATCATTAGGACACGGATTGGTGTAGTGCCTTAGAGCAAGACTTTGGAACATGGACTCAAATAACCTACCCAGACTCACCAGGATTTGGGCACCTTGTGACACACTGTTGTACAGAGGAGGAACTCCTCCTTGTATAGATGTCATTGCTGACCCTGTAGGGTTCACTGGCATTCACTTGAGAAAACAGGGGAGGCCTCTATTTTTTTTTTTCTGCCCCATGTATACATGGGTCCTGTTGGGTGGTGTCAGCCACTATCTGAGAATCCACATGTCCAAACTTCTGGAATCCCTAGAGACTGGATATCATAGGTCAGATCATCCACCTTCACAATATGTTTCAGAGCCTTATAGGTGTCCATGGTGACCACGAAGAGAAGAACATCTTTGAGGAGCTGAGGTAGTAACAGTTGAGAGGAACAAAGGGGTCATCCACCTGCAAGTCTCCCTGGTCAGCCTGAGACATCATCACGAGATGTTGTGGCCAAAACAGTATCCTGCTCTACTTGTGGATGACGTGTCTCTGGCCGACAAAACTCGGGCTGTAGGAGATCCAGCCTGGTGTCTGAAGGCTTCTGTCATGGAGCAGCTCATTCCTGGTCTAACTACCTTGGAATAGATGGAGCTCCATAAGGGACAGCCTTGAGAATGCTGGACAGGACGTGTGCCACCCAGAGCCCAAGGGGCAAGAAGGGCATCCTCAGAGTGACCGATTCCTCTGCCAGCCTCATGGCCCCTCTTGGGGACAACTGTCAGTGGGAATGGAGAAAGGGAGGATCCTCAGAGAAACCAAGGTCCAACCACCTGCCCTGGCCAATCGTTGCCAAGGAGACAGTGAGAAAACCTACAGTGGGTGGGGCAGCTGAGGGGACAAGGCAACAGTGACAGGGTGTGGCCAAGGGACTTGAAGTCAACTGGGAGGTCAGTGTGAGCCCAGGCACAAACCTCCCTTTAGGGAGGCGGGGGCTGGGATGCAGTGGGTGCTCAGGACACCAGGGGAGCTCAGGAGCACCAAGGGATTTCTATCTATCTATCTATCTATCTATCTATCTATCTATCTATCTATCTATCTATCATCTATTGTATAGAGAAAGTGGCAGGAGGAAGAAGGAGATGGAGAGAAATATTCACATGTGAGATGTTGTGTTTCGCTCACCCCCAACTGGAACCTGGATGTCATCTCAGGCATGTGTCCTGACCTGTGACCTTACGGTTTACATGTCATCATGAGACCCACCATTCAGGGCTAAAATACTTTTATGTAGGAAAACTTTTCGATATGGAGGGAGACAAGACGGTGGAGATGCAAGGGCTGCTCAGTACACGGGGTCATTAGTGATACTCAGGGTCGTTCATGTGCACAAGGGACAGCACTGTCACCATGGAGCCTTGAGGGCAACAGGGACATCAATACCACCGGGGAGTGCTCATGAGAGAAGAGGACATCAGAGCCATTGGGCTCACTAATGAGCA